GAAGGAAGGAAGGAAGGAAGGAAGGAAGGAAGGAAGGAAGGAAGGAAAGAAGGAAGGAAGGAAGGAAGGTATATTTATTAAGAACTTATCATATGTCAATTCCATCCTAAGCCTGGGGATACAAAAGCAATACAGTTCCTGACAGAAAGATACTTTCAATCTATTAAGGAGAGATAACACATAAGAGAAAAGGAATAGTAGCTAGGGAGTTATGTTTTGGTTTGCAAAGTCACAGGGATGATAAGTGGAGCCTAAGGCAGTAACAACCTTTCCAGCAGCAACGGTAATATTGATTTGACTATGGCCCCGGAGCTGGAAAGTAGGAGGGGAGTAGGGGGTTGGGGGAGGCCAGGTGGAAGAGAGAAATTCTATCGTGATTGTAGAGCAGCAGACAAGAAAATGGCCAGGATATAAAGTAAAGTATCATTGGACCTGGCCAGATATGAGGGAGCAGGAAGACCAGGGTGGGAGTTCCAGATATGAGTCAAAGAATCATTGAATTTTACCAAGGTTATATGACTTTTGACCATCTCCCTTATGGCTACTAAAGCCAAACCCTCAATAGAATGACTGGTCCTAGGCCTTTATTTGCACCAATGAGACATGTTAAATATACTGCAAGCTGCTCTGTCTCTCTGATTGACATCTTAATGAATAACCCCAAAACCTCTTTGCATATTGCTACATGCTTCTGTCAAGAGACAGGAGTTTGGAGGACACACTCAAATGTGCTGCTATTCCAAAGCCTTAGTGGAAGAGAAATAGAATATTAGCCATAAGTCTCTGTAATTAGCCACAGGCATCTTATTTTCCTTTTTAAATTTGTTTTTGCCAGTGAATTAAATCTTACCTTTAGCAAATGATTTGCTTCAGAGATCAGAGGAAAATGTTTTTTACCTTCTATTACAAAATGGAAGGAGTATAGCAGCAGCAATTAAAACTACTAACTTTAGCATCTCTGTTTTGAAAATTAATAATAATAATAATAATAGCTAGCATTGATATAGTGCCTACTATGTACCAGGTACTGTGTTGAGTGGTTTGTTTGTTTGTTTGTTTTTACAAATATTATCTCATTTGATCCTCACAACAATCCTGGCAGGTAAGTGTTATTGTTATCCCATTTCACAGTTGAGGAAACTGAGACAAAAGAGGTTAAGTGACTTGCTCGAGGTCACACACCTAGGAAGTGTCTCAGGCCAGATTTGAACTCAAGCCTTCCTGCTTCTAGGTCCAGTACTCTATCCACTGTACCATCTAAATGTCTCTTTATTGGTGAAGGCTAGTTTTGACAAGGTCAATCTCAGCAACCCAAAATTGTAGGATCTCAGAGTGGAAAGAGACTCCAAAGATTGTCTGATGTAACCTGTACCTGAAATCTCCCCATGGCAATTAATAATAATATTAAAATAGATAACTTTGAGGATATGAAATTGAAAAGTTTCTGCATGAACACAATGTAACTAGGACAGAAACAGAAGTAGTCAACTGAGGAAAAAAATATTTGTATCAAATATTTCTGATAAGGATCAGATATCCAAGATATTGTTGTTCCCTCATTTCAATCATGTCTGACTCTTTGTGACCCCCATTTGGGGTTTTCTTAGCAAAGATACTGGAGTGATTTGCCATTTCCCTTTCCAACTCGTTTTATAGATGAGGAAACTGAGGCAAACAGGGTTAAGTGACTTGTCAAAGGTCACACAGCTAGTAAGTGTCTGAAGCTGGATTTGAACTCAGGTCTTCCTGACTCCAGGCCTGGTGCTCTATCCTGAGCCACTTAGTTAAGAAATGCAAGACCAAAAGTCATTCCCCAAGAGATAAGTGGTCAAAGTATGTAAACAAACAGCTCTCAAAAGAATAGCAAATTATTAACAACCATGTAAAAGAATGTTTGAAATCAAAACAACTCTTAGTTTCATTTTATATCCAAAAAATTGGTAACGATGACTAAAGATAAGAATAGTCAATGTTAGAGGGGTTATGGACAAACACACACATTAACACATTCTTAGTCATGCTTTCAATGTGTCTAAAAGCATTCTGGAAAGTAATTTGCATAAATGACTTGACATATCCATGCCTTTTAAATCAGACATTCCACTTCTAGGAATATATCAGTGATAAAAAGAAAGGTTTTATATGTATGTGTATATATATATATATAATATATATATTATATATGTATGTATGTATGTATGTATATACACAGACACACACATACATATATACATATATACACTCATATGTGTATATGTATATATGTATATGTGTGTAAATGTGTGTGTGTGTGTATGTATATATACAGAGAGAGAGAGAGAGAGCTGCAAAGAACTTGAAACCAATAGATACACATTGATTGAAGAATGCCTAAACAAATTGTGATAGATTAATGTAATGGTATATCATCACTGTTTTATAGAAAATAGTAAATACAAGAAATCATGGGAAGGCATGAAATGGTGCCCAGTTAAGTAAATAGAACCAAGAAAACAATATATACAATAATTAAAGCAATATAAATGGAAACAACAATAATAAAACATAGAAACTGGATATTGTAAAATTATAATAACTAAGTTTAGCCCCAAAGAAGAGCTAGGAGAAGGAACCTCCTCCACTTCTTTACAGAGGTGGAGGGCTATGGGTCATGGAAAACTGCATAGAATGTCAGACATTTTTGATGTTTTATTTTGCCAAACTATGTTTGTTTTTTTTGTTTTTCTCTCCTTTATTCTTTATTATAAGAAATAAATCTCTGAGAGGAGAAGGTAGAGATACATTGGGAATGGTAGGTGATATAAAAAAAATAGCAATACACATTTATTAAATGAAAACAGAAATTCCCCCTACAACATCCCTGAAAAGTAGCCATTCAACTTGAAGACCTCTGGTAAAGGGGACCTTATTATCTTCTGAAGCCACTCATTCTACCTTTGAATAGATTTAATTAATAAAAAGGGTTTTGATCCTTTGTGTTTTCCCCTATGTCAAGCCTTCGATATTCAAAGACTTGTTGAAATCCCAGCTCTGCTACTTAATACCTGTGAAACTTTGGGTAAGTTACTTTCTTAGGTCTCAGTTTCCTCATTTAAAAAATGAAGACACTGGACTTGTTGGCCCCTAAGCTACCTTCTGGTTCAAAATCTATGATCCAATTAAACTACCATCCACTAGATGAAGCCTTCACTCATTGCTACAAGTTCTTGCTTTGGAAGCATTACAGAATTAACTGTGCATATGACAGTCCTTAGGAGGACAAATAGAATGGTGAAGGTCTTCAGCTTCATGACACATGAGGATCAGTCAAAGGAACTGGGGATGTTCTGCTTGGAGAAGGAAAGAGTTGGGGAAATGGGGAAGAACATATGAGAACTGCTTATAAATATTTGAGGTACTATCGTGTGCAGTTGATATTAGACTCGTTCTGTTGGACCCCAGAGGGTGAAATAAGGAGCAATGAGTGCAAGAAGCAAAGAGGCAAATGTAGGCTTGACATCACAGGGAGGATGCTAGCAATTAGAGCTATCCAAATGTGGAGTGGGCTGTTGGAGGAGGAAGCAGGTTCTCCCTCATAGGTAAGAAAGGTGGGGTTTCAAGGAAAAGGCAGACGACCACTTCATGGGTGTGTTGTAAGGGGGATATTTTTATGTACGGATAGGACTGGATGACCACTAAGATACCTTCCAACTCTGAGATTTCATGATTCAGTGAATCTTTGAAATATCTTATTAATAATCATCATGATGGTAATAGTAACAATATTAACTGCTAGCATTTACATGCTGATATAAGGCTTACAAAGTGCTTTACATATATTATCTCATTTAATCCTCACTACAACCCTGGCAGGTAGGTACTATTATTATACCCATTTTACAAATAAAGAAACCGAGGCAGGCAGAGTTTAAGTGACTTCTCCAGGGCCATACAGCAAGTAAGTGTCTAAGATAGGATTTAAACTCAGGTGTTCTTGATTCTAACACCAATGTCATATCCACTGTGCTAACTAGCTGTTTCTGACAGAGATCCTGCACCTATTTTGTTTTCAAAGACCTCCAATGCCTTGACTATTCTAATTAAACACTCTTATCAGATCATCTAGACCATTTCCCAAATGCACACAACAACCCTGGTTTTTTTATGTTTCTCTTTCCAGTTTCTAAGCCAATACGCAATTCCAAACTGACCTGGAACAAAGATGGCATCCTCAATGGCATTGGATATCATAATGGAAATCTGATCATCCAATCTCCAGGATGGTACATCATCTATTGCCAGTTGCAATTTGTTGTGCCAAATTGCCCAGATAATCCTATTGACCTGAAGTTGGAACTTCTCATCAATAACAAAACAAAGAAGCAAACTCTGGTTACTGTGTGTGAATCAAAAACGGGAACAAAGAACATCTATAGGAACCTCTCCCAGTTCTTTCTGGAGAATCTAAATGTCAACAATACTGTGTCCATCAAGGTCAAAGAATTCCAATACGTGGATACAAATACCTTTCCTCTTGAAAGCGTGTTGGCAGCCTTCAAGTATAGCAATTCTAACTGAGCAACCTCATTTGGCCCTTGGAGAGAAACCCAACACCAATACCACACATCATGTATAGCTTTTCATAGACTAATGGGGAAAAAAGAAGCCTTTTCACTGGAGACCTTTATCATTAGATTAAAATCCCAAACAGTGTGAAACATATGCCTCTCCCACTTTCATTCATCACTCGTTCTTTGATAACAAGAGTGGCTTTTGGTGGAACTGTCATTCACAAGGGAGACAAAAGGAATTTCAGTCACACAGCAGCACACTCCCCAAGCATCCACACCTAAAATTCCAAATAAGTGAAAGATTGATCAAGAAAGAAAGACTGGGCTACCTCTACCTACATTCTGATTTGATGATAATGCCCAGAATATTATAGTAAATGGCGGGACTGGGCAGGGAATCACAAGGTCTGAAACACACATTAGGGAGAACTCCCTACAGCAAGTCACTCCAGGGCTAAGATAGAACCATGGGGGAAATGTGTTTAAAAACAAGATATGATTCAAAACAAGACTAATTAAATGGGATGCTTAGCAAACTATTAACTAAGGCCTATATTTATTCCAATTAAGAGCAACCCATATCAAGCACATGCAAGCATTAGCCTCCTGCTGTCTCAAAACATGCAGTGCCATACGTTCAATGAATGTTAGCTGGTGACAATGACTATATTGCATGGCAGTGATAGAGGTAGCAAATGGCTGCTGTTAAAGCTACCTGGAGTCTTTCTCTTTTGAATGGAAGAGAAATAGCTATATATGGCTTGGACCCTGACCTCCCTTAGTATGTATGTTGATCCCAATTCCTGAAAGTGCTTCCCAGGAAAATAATTAGATCCAGGGCTAGATAACTATGTTGGAAAGGGCAGAGGGGGAACCTTAATTCTTGTCAAGACTAATAGTCTATTGTTGTGATCCTGAAGATAAAAGAAGAAAGTTCTGAATGACTACAATAAACTTCACTAGTTGGGTTGGGGCAAGAAAGGTTGCAATAAACAAATGCCTTAGTGCAACAACTCTACCTGTAGCAACCTAGACATCTGGACAAAAGTATATGCTTGGATAGAAAACCCAAGGGGAAGTGGCTTCATGCAGTATCTGTATTTCTGCCTTGTCATACACAAATTAAAGTTTGGTAAATAAAAATCTCCCTTCCATTGATTTTCATCATAGCGTCAGAGACTCTCATGACTTTCCTTGGGCTTTTGGTTTCAGTGTTCAGTTGCCTCCTTACCCTTGACCTTTAGATCATTCTGTCTCCCTCTCTTTCACCCCAATCTAGCTTCTCTGTTAAGCAACAATCATAAATACCTAAACACATTTGGGAAAATCATAATTTCATAATCACTACCCTCACTCATCTCACTTTATGGTTATTAAGCACTTTCACATGCATTTCATTTGATCCTTACAACAGAAAGGAAAGCCAAGGTTCAGAGAAATAAAATTAATTTGCCTAAAGTCACATGGCTACTAAGTGTTAAAGTCAAGAAGAAAGCTTGGGTAACTTAATTCAAACTCCCAGGATTGTCAGGAATCTTGTGACAAATAGAATTTTAATTAATAATTTAATTAATTAAAATTAATAATAGAATTAGTGAATGCTTGTCTGAATAGTAAATGTAAAGTATTTCTTTGAGTTTTCAAAAAAAAATCAACCCCCAAAATGTAATATGAAGAAGGCATGATTAGAGAAAGTTTGTCTAATAAAGGTTTTAGTGGCCTGCTATATGCTCAGTTTGAGTCAATAATGTAATTGGCAGACAAAGAAATTAATGTTATCTAGGGTTGCTTAGCTACTAGGAATAAGGAAGGGATAGGTTTGCTGTACACTGCCATAGTCAGATCGCATCTGAATTGTATTCAGTTTGTAGTGCCACCATTTAGTAAGGATATTGATAAGGGTGAAACTGTCTAAAGGAGGGCAGCTACAATAACCAAATCTCTCATCTTCCAGATAAGAAGCAGTTGAAAGAACTTGGAATGTTTAACTTGGAGAAAAACTGACATAGCAGGGCTATAATAGCTATTTTCAAGTATTTGAAAGGTTGTCCAGTGCAAGAAGGATTAGGTTTGTTGTATTTGGCCCAGAGGGCAGAATCAATCAATCAATCAGTAAACATTTATTAAGTACTTACCTTTGTGTTAGGTGGGAGTTAGGTGGCTTAATGCATAAAGCTCCAGGCCAGGGGTCAGGAAGCCCTGTGTTCAAATCAGGCCTCAGATATTTATTAACTGTGTGATCCTGGGCAAGTCACTTGACTCTGCTTTAGTTCCTCATCTGTAAAATGAGCTGGAGAAGGCAATAGCTAACCACTCCCATCTCTTTGCCAAGAAAACCCTAAATGGGGTTATGAAAAGTAGGACAGGACTGAAATGACTGAACAACAAAAATGGACCAGGCACTATGCTATGTACTAGGAGTGCAAATACAACTTGAAAGACAGTCCCTGCCCTCAAGGAGCTTACTTTCTAATGGAAGAAAACAACATATAAAAGGAGACTGAAAAGGGAGATTTGGGGAGGAGGAAAGTGCTCCAGAGTGCAGCCTGGAGTCATTGTTGCCAGAAACCAAAGTAGCCCAACTACATATCTTTCTTCCCTATGAATAACTTATTAGGAGTCCAACTTCAGCTCAGAGAATTCCAATGGGTTCACTGGGTTTGATGTGGGCAGCTATGTATAAAAAAAAAAAAAATCAGAGACCTAATGTGAGGAAAGCATAAGGCCATAAAGTCTATCAATCTGGATCTCAGCCTTTCCATGTTATGATCTTCCCCCTCCAATTCTGAACATTTCCCTCTCCTCTCCTGACCCTGATATCCTCATACATGCTGCCCTATCAAGGTAGTCCTTCAGGTACTTCAGACCAATAGAGGAGATCTGTGACTGATAACAATTGAGTCTTCCCCAATGCCCCACCTCACCCAGAGTAACATTTCAACAAGGATCAAAGCTTTCAGCCAAGGATACAAAACTCTAGCAGTATTAGACTCAAAAGAACATTTGGTGGGAGCACATGGACCTCCCCACCACCCCTGAAATTTCAATGAATGTTGTCTCCATGGAAGACCTATTGTATTGTAAGCATCATGACGGCAGGGACTGTGTCTTATTCCCTTTTGTACCTCCCTCCATACTTAACACAGTGCTTTGTATGTTTTTGTAGGCATTTTATAAATATTTGTTGAATGAAGGTTGAAAGAATCTAACCTGTACTATCTAAATAAATTAATTTGCATGCAGACCAGATAAGTACAGGCTAGGAAATAACATTAAAAATTATGTAGCCCATTTCCCTCATTTTGTGGAAGAGAAACTATAGCCCAGAGAGAGAAAAATGACATGCCCATGGTCACACAGCTTGAGGTCACTACTTCATATGGTTGATGATGTGTCCAAATCAAACCTGCTACTCAAGTTAATAGTTTATGTTCACTGGTATAATATTACCTATTTACAGTAAACCTTGTGATAGCCTTCAGGGCCATACACAAGTATCCTTGCCATCATCTCATTCATTTCACCAGTTGTTGGTGTTTGTACTGAACCGTGAGCCAAGAAAAGGAAAAATGTGCCTTGCTTAATTACTTTGCTGTAATACTGAAAGGCAGTGGAACACAGTGATTAAAATGAGATTTAAGGATTCTCTATGGACCCTACCTGCCAGCATGATTCTTGTCCCTGACCTGCCTGACAATTAAGAGTTCACTATATATGCCACTAATATCCATTCCATTATGATCCTGTTGTTGGGTCATAAGACAAACATTCATTCGAAAGGTGGGATCACTATATGAGACTTTTGTAGTGTAGAACCTATTCAGGACATACAATTTGACCCTTTTATCCTGGTTAAAAGGATGAAAAGAAGATGGAACCTAGAACTCAGTTACCCAAAGACAATCCTCCTACCCCCAACACATACACATGTACCTTGGATATAATCAAATCTATATCATCATAAAGTGATCCTGAATACAGCTCTTTTTGTTCAAGCAAAGTCATAATTGAAGATTTGGGTACACAGGGAAATCCACATAAAACATAATCTCACATCAGCTTTTAAAGTTCTACTGGGGAAAGGAGGAGAGTCAGGAAGAACCTGGATATTGCTGTGTGGATAGAAGGTAGAGACCCTGGAACATCAGAAGATGGAGCAAAGCCAGAATTAGGGAGGTGGGGAGTAGGGTGGGGTGGGGTGGCCAAAGAAAAACTATCTGATAGTTTCTTATTTTAACTAGTTATTCTTACTAATGAGGTGCTGAGCTCAGTTGCTGAAGGAGTATAAGAGTTATCAATTTCCTTTAAGTTGCAGTGCCCTGAGGTAAAACTCCAATCTTTCTCAGTTAAGTTTCCGTGGCTAAGAAAAATAACCTTATACCTCCTTCCCCATAGCTCCTTGGATCACAATATTTTCCCTAGGTACTATTAGTTCACCACATTTTAAGGGGTCTTTCACACAGCCATTCATTTATTTACATATTGCATTCAGAATGTCCCTGTTTCCTGATTAATATATACCAATAGCACATTCTGAACAGCTAAAGCCGAGAGAAGTTTCGAGTTCCTTTTCTATCCTATTTATAATCATGTCTCCTGGATACACAAGAAATAGAAAATGAGAACAGATTGCTTTTTTTTCTTCAGAAGAAAAAAGAAAGCTTTTTTGTTTTTTTGTTTCTAAGAAAATTATATTTGCCCTGTCTTGTACATGGGTCTAAAATATCAGAGGCCTGAAAAAACAATCAGCAATCTTCCGGATTTTTCAGGCTCTTGTCCATATTCTACATTGCCATAATCCTCTTAACTTTTTTTAGAACATTAGAGCAAGAAGGAACCTTAAATCATATACTGGGAGAATATGGAATACCAAAGCCTGAAGAAACCGTCAAAGAGAATGTCAGAACTAGAAAGGATCCAAGAATATAGAATGTGAAAACACACAAAGAATGTGAGAAAATGGAATGCTACACAACTGGAAAAAACCTCAGATCATAGAATGTCAGAAGTGGAAGAAATCTCAGAACATAGAAATTGTTAAGGCTGTAGGAAGGACCACAGAATGTGAGAACATAGAATGTAAAAGCTCAAAATGTCCTTAGAATATAGAACAGAAGAAAAATAGAATATTGAAACTGAAAGGTATTTAAG